TTACCTGGCACCAAGGTATGTACATGTATAACGGTGAACAGGTTTTATTAATTTCAATAAAGACTTTATTATATACGTTCACATCACCAGCACAGTCAACCATGTGAGTCAACGTTCATAAAAGGAAAATCAACACTCACGTGTGATGTCATATCAACTTTTTTTAACACTTAAGTAACATGTATTACCAGGTAGTTGTAGAAAATGTAGTTTTACATCTGGATAGTGATAAGTAATATCAAATATGTGATCATAAGCATTGAAACAAGATACAGCAATAAGTTTAAAGAAACTCATTACTAGATCACGTATTTGTGAATTCTGGAGAAAACTAAGTAGTTCTCTATCTTTAACTGAATACAACAACATCTGGAGTATGAATCTATTGCCGGGATTTATACGACCTGCAACCTCAGCAATGTTATGCATCACACTATCACATATATCATCTTTTAAAATCAATGACATGTATTCTAGCTTACTGCTTTGCAGAATATCAAGTGTCAAAATTGAATTCTCAATGAAAGGAACACCAAACCTAAACATTTTGACATTTGTATCACAAATTGCAGTGAACAAAGTCAGTATACAGACTGCTTTACTGTATGGTATCGATTGCATGGAACTCTTCTGAAAAAATTCACAAAATAAACAAGTGTCAACTTTTCCAAAGCCACTGAACGATGAACAATTTCTGAAACCACATTAGTCAACTTTATAAATGAACCCAAATTTAAGATCTCATCTTTAATATAAGAAACTATTAATGTTGTAAGACATGTACATGTACTTGTAATCAGCAGGAGTAGTATTAGCTAATATGACGTCAGGTATATTGTTCCAATACAATTTCACAATACTTGGGTCTGTTTGTGCCCGATTCTCATATTGGTAATGGAGGACGGACATAATTTCAGATAAGTGAATTTCAGGTGCTGTTTATGTGAGCAGAAATTCATCACGAGGACTAATCTTATCACCTGAGAAATCCCAGATACGTACAGAGCCTGGAAGCCATTTTGACAAATATGGAATAAAGGTTTGACAATGTTCACTTTCCCTTAGAGAATGAAATGCAAAATCCAAGAGATCGGCATGCTTCCTATATGTCTCTCTAGTGAAAAGCTTACAACTAAGTTGTCTAACCAATACATTACCGAAAATATCAAGGAAAGGAGCTGTATTATTTTTTACAATTCCAAAGATGTATGTTGTATTTGAAAATGTTGGTTGTAATTCCAAAACAGGTTTTTTGTGCAATCCAACACATCAGCTTTATCAATATTATGACTTATGTGATAGGCTGCGAAATACTCTTGCCATGTTCTGTGATAAAAATAACAGAGCTTTCTTGGTCTTAATCTTTCTTTTCCATGATCTCTAACAAGCAGACCAAGAGATAAGATGACTGGGTCAGAGATCTCACTTTCATTCAACAGAATTTGCTGGTTTTTGAATGCATTATATGCGATTGAAGCAAGATGACCAAGTGCAACTTGGACACTCTCTGGGAAGCAGTCATACTCTACATTTAGTTTGTTTTTGTTACATGATCTCTTCAGAATCAAATTAAGAAGGCTTGTGTACAACTGTGTTTGTTTTTCTTGAAAAATTACGCTTTCTTGAGAATCCTCCCAAAGAAAACAGATCATACAAATATGTAGGGGACTTCGATAGATATCATCATGCACTTTATAATCAATTCTGTCAATGAGGTTATCAGAGAGTACTGTTTTGTCACCAAAATGCGTCCAAATGTATTCAAAAGCCAACTGTTTATCAAATCCTTCAATGCAAAAATGCACATCAGAATTTTTTAAATCGCTATCACAATCATGGGTTCTGGTGGTGGTAATCACAGTACATTGTGACAACAGTTTCTCACGAAGTAAATCTAAAATATCTGAATTAGATTTCAAGTCTGAGTCAATTTCATCGAAAGCATCAAAGACAAAAAGAACAGACTCTTCATTTTCAGAAAAATAAGAAGACAATTCTTGTTTTTAGATTTTGGCATCAATAGGCAATAGTTGATCAAATATTACATCAACAATTTTCCTCTGTCTTACATGTCTCAATTCAATGAGTAAGACCACTTTAAACTGATCAAATTCACCACAAGCCCAATCATATGCCAGCTTTCTACAGAAAATGGACTTCCCAATAGCTGGGGCACCTTCAACTCTAATACGTCTTGACGATGTCCTTTGTTGGACACTTCGATTAAAAATATCAGTTGAGTTTTCTACAATTTCTCCAGTTGTAAAACCACCTCTTTTTCCTACTTTAGCCACTCGTAACTTTGTATAGACATCAGCAAGCTGAAGAGATAGGTCATCGTTCCATGGTACTGTAAAAGGGGTAATTATTCACTGTGTTTTAATTTAGCTTATTTCGCTGACTGGAAAAATGTGCTAAATTAAAACACAGTGAATATGTAAAATTTAGCATAGAACACATTATCTAAATAACGAAACCGTGAATTTAAAACCCACTGAATATGCCTGAAATGGTAAATCAGTGAAATTTAAACCCAGTGAAAATTAGTCATTTTTCAGTATTGGTTGAAATTGTGTATAGTGTCGTATGTACATATCTTCAAGATGTTTCACAAGCTATAAGACAGGATCTGAAATTATAATATCAACCATAATATTTTTACTAATCGATAACAAATGTCAACTGCTACAACGTGAGCTCTAACACACATGTCTACCGGTACTATTTTTTTTTTAAACAAGCAACTTATCAGCCAAAAAAATGTTATTGTAACTTCTGAATACAATCAAATGTGAGGTCTGTACTTCTTTATTATTAATGCACAAGTACATACACATGTACAAAACAAATATCAAAGTATTAAATATGTGATGACAAGCCGGGAGGCTGGTTGGCGATCCGCTCCGCTCAAAAACAAATAACATGTTTTTGGCTGTTTCCATGGTGGGACATAAACGTAAAGCTAACGTCAGTTTATAACTAAATGGGCTAGTATACGAAGTTCGCAAAAGCCATTCAGTCTTTAGAAGTCACTTAGTTTATTCAAAGTTGCGTTGGGATTACGTTGATACAGTGTAACAATGTCGGCGCCGGTGATCTCCTACCAGTGCGCAAGTAGTCAAAATAAAAATCATGGTCATTTGAACACTGCTATTACAAAATCACAGTCAGCCGGCATCGTTGTCGCTGGGTGTATATGATAGAGGGAAGTTGTGCAACCAAATTTGCCGAGTTCGCAGTTTTTCGCCAATAAAAAAATAACTAAGGCAAAACTCGCGGTTTTTCAGCATTTTTGTAAAGACATTATTCTCTATCAATAATCCGCCCAAAACAGGAATATTTCTACTAATTCTTGTGTTTTTTCACCGTTTTCGAAAAACCTGCGATTAGGCTGCGAAAGTAGAACATTCCGGAGGGGGTGAAAGGCAAGAGCATCGCCAGGTGATGGACGCGGGGCTCTATGGCCAGCCATTGGTTGGCCACATAGAGGTCAAAATACGCGTACTATTTTTACGCGTTAAATTTGGCTCTTAATTTCTTTTTGACAAAAACGCCTGCTGGTCAGCTAAATTTCATCGAAATACAAAAAATAACTGAAGACAACATTCAACCCTTTATGTTTAGACTTTGTTATCAAATTTAAGCCAAAGCTGTAAAATGTCTCTGAGAAAAGGGCAGAACACTTGTAAACTAGCAGCCTGTTGGCTGATATAGCTCTGCTGTTTGTGATGCATGTTCTGAAAGCAATGACTAAGAAGCAATTTAAACCTAATGCTAGCGGCTTTAATATCGCAACTTTCTTGATTTGGTTGCAGAGAATATTTCACTAAAATTAGAGATTTGAAGATATCGTCATGAAATTACCAAATCTGATAGAGATTCACCCAAGGTACTTACAAATAATTTACAAAGCAATTGGATTAGCAGTTTTCAAGAAAAAGTTGGAAATAACGTTTTTGACCTAAAAATTACAAAAATATTCATCAAAATTAGAGAATTGAAGATATTGTCACAAAATCAACAAATCTGACAGAGGTCCACCTGATATACCTACATATACAATATCAAAAAAATTGGACAAGCAGTTCAAAAGTCTCGTTGCTTTTATGTTATACATATACAATGTAGGTACCTCAGGTAGACCTCTCTCAGATTTGTTCATTTTGTGATGATATCCTCAATTCTCTAATTTTGATGAATATTTTTGTCATTTTTGATAAAAAGTGTTATTTTTGCTTTCTTGTTACAAACCGCATGTCTGATTGCTTTGATACTTACTATACATATAGGTACCTCAGGTACACCTCTCTCAGATTTGTTCATTTCATGATGATATCTTTGATTCTCTAATTTTGATGAATATTTTTGTTATATTTGGTAAAAATTGATATTTTTGAATTCTTGTTGAAAACAGCAAGTCTGATTGCTTTGATACATATTGTTCATTTTCTAACAATATCTTCAGTTCTTTAATGGAAATGTGCCATTGCTAGCAGCGGAGCTATCTCAGCCGACAGTCTGCTTGTTGAAATATGTCGTGGCCCTGAAATGGGCCATTTAGTTTGTGTTTCCTTCATTCAAGCAAATCTTACAGTATCGAGAGTTACGTAGCAAGTGTCGCACTCATTCGGCTTTAGCGTCATCGGCAATTAAACCAATGTTGCAATATTGCAATTTGCACATGTCCCATTTATCTTGTCTCTTTATCGTGATAAGACATGCCAATGCCAAGCTGACAGACAGTAAAATCCATGGATTAAAAGTGCTATAAAGTCCAAACTGTGTGTGCAACATCGATGAACTTCAAAATGAAGCTGTAGGGATTTTGTTGGACGGCGACAGTGATGCTGACTTGGACATTGAGAGTTTTGACTTTGACGAAGATGGCAATGAATGTACAAATGAAGATTTGAGAAGTTTTTTAAACAACTATGAACTTTCATAATTTTTACTGTGTAAATTCGTAAATTATTATTGTTTGTGTATGGCTGTTGATCCAGTATTTGTCAAAACCGGAAATAATTTTTCGCAGTTTAACCCCAGACATTTTTATTGATATACTTCTAATGTTGTATATTGTTCATTTATTTCCGTTTTCATTTGCCATTCTATTCCCTGCCGTTTTTTTTAAGGAGATGTCTGGGCATAAGTCCACCCTTTTTTTTTTGCCAGTTTTCCATATTCAGGACCCTGGGCGCTTACCCGGACAACTACAGTACATACAATATATCTATGTTACCCTTATGTCACAAAATTATTTAATCTAATAGAGGTCCACCCAGGGTATATGTACATATATTCCAAGTATCAAATCAATCAAAGCAGAAGTTATCAAGAAGTCCTGAAGTCCAAAAATGACAAAAATATTCATTAAAATTACAGAACTGATTTTATTGTCATGAAATATTCAAATCTAAAAGAGGTCAATTTTTACCAAAAATATTCATTAGGCATCATCACAAAATGAACAAATCTGAGAGAGGTCCACTCAAAGTAGATATGTATAAAATATCGAAGCAATAGGGATATAAGTCGAAAATAGCATTTTTGTTACTAAAAATGACAAAAATAGTTATTAAAATTAGAGAATTGAAAGTATCTTCACAAAAAGAACAAATCTGAGAAAAAACACTTCAGGGCTCATACTTCAGGGCTCATGGGAAATTAACATGCCAGTAATCAAACACTTGAAAAAAACTAACATGTTGGTCAGCTCAAACTCTTGCAAATCTCAGGTAAACAAGACACACCTACTGTATTTGGATTGCACCTAAAGAAATCACTGGAAAAACATCAACAAATATTTTAAAAAATTCATTGGTTCTTGCAAGGCATTTAAATTGAGGGCTACGAGCAGCCATTGGTTGTTTAGTGGCATGAGACCTTAAGGTACATATGTAGTGAGTATGAAACCCATACAACTGACGGTTTTTAAAAAGAAGTCAAAAATGTACTTAGTTGACATGTGATGACCAGACGCCGGGTGATGGCAGACATTCAGCAAAATAAATAGCTCCACTCAATTTCATCAACAACAGAGCTAAGAATTGATGGCTAGTCAGCCATCTTGATTAGATTTCAAGAACTTAACAATGTTCACCCTATGTATGTATAGTAACCATACCAACTTGACTGAAACCTACACAGCCATCTCAGAGTACCAAATGTGGACAATGTCAGACATGTTAGGATTTAGGCATACTTTATGTCCAAAGCAGACACCAGTGAAAAATGACTGGCATATGTACGCCTCTGTACAAGGTTTGCAAAAAACCAGTCAATCAACACATGTTCAAGTAATGGCTTCAGGTCAACAACTGACTTTATTAGAACTCATTCACTATGTATGCATAGAGTTTGTTAAGTTACCTTTTTTAGTTCTCCCTGTGAAGCTTTTAAATCTGTCTGATAACACATCTAATCCAATTGCAGTTAAAATAGTTTCCAAGAAGATTGTATTTTCTTCGCTGATTTTACCACATTTTCTTAAAGTATCAAACAACTCAAATGGTCTGGTGATCGTTGCTAATGTACGTCGAGGTATATTGCATCAAAACATCGATCTTGCAATCGACGTAACGTTTCTGTTAAAAAAAGGTAACATTGTATAGTCACTGTATTGGGAATAATTCAATAATTTATCAATTTAACCACAGCTATAACATTGAGTGGGCACCCATGTTCATAATAAAAAAACATAGCATTACTACTACCTCTGCATATATATAAATGTCAATCCCATTCATATTGTGCATTTCATCAAAAATGACCTGTGAGATTCAATCTTTGAGGCTTTTTGCATTGTGTTAAATACACATTGTAAATTAATTTGTTGAATTTCAGAGACTGGATCTGTTACGGCTTTCTTAATATATAGTATGTGATAATTAGAGATGATCTACTCATCCGAAGACTCCCTTTCCACACCTACAAAACATGATTTAAAAATACCCCATAGAAAATGCTCAACATAATATAACATTTAATCATCAAAATTGTGTTATTGCCGCTGGGCACAGTTCTAGAAGCCTCACCTACACACGAATTGGTGACGTCACAAAATACATGACCTTCAATCGGGGTCGTTTCCTCGGTATATACGAATTGATATATACAAATTACAATAAAGATACTTGAGACATTACACAATAAGGTGGAACAAATCACGTGACAATTTAATGATAATAACGGTAATAAATCCTAGCTTAACAGTTGAACAAAACGATCATATAGTCAGTGGGGTCACGCCAAGGGTCACGCACTTTGTTGCAAAATGGCCGTGTGGTTGTAACTGGGTCATGGCGTGACGGGTGAGGAAGACATCATTAAACACTCAAAAATCACAATAAAACGGGAAAGTGGTTGCATATTACGGCGTAGCCAACATGGGAAATGAAAAACCGCACAACACAAACACAATTGGTTCGAGTCCTACGAGGTGCACAATCACTGGAACCGAAGCGATCGGAAACCAACAATCGTTTTGGCTTTCCCGTTCAACTCATCGGAACATTGAGGTAGTTAGCAAAATGAACACCACTCAACGACCAACGTCGTGGCGTGGTACACAAGCGTGCCATCGAGATAAAACAAAATTAGCTTGAAAAGGCAGTGGGTTCGAGTCCCGCTCAGAGCTACTTTAAAAACGTAAATTAAATGAACTGAAAACCCTCAAACCATAACAAGTAAACTAAGAACTTTGCAAAAAAATAATAAACCTCACGAAACTCCACCATGCACAAATGAATGAATAAATGATAAAATAACTTACGTCTTAAACTGTTCAACAGTTTTCAGATGACAAGAGACCCAAGACAAGACAAGGCAAGTTTTGTTTAAGTGTCGATGGTGTTCCCTATATTATGAAAACAATTCAGGCAACAGACGAATGTCTTCTGTGGTGTTGTGGTATATATACGGTGTCTGCAGAATTGTTGATTGAGGATTCGAAGTCAGCAGTTAACATTTGTTAGAAAGTTTCACAATTAAATCAAATATCCAATGATACCAGTGTATTTATTTCATTATTTTAACAGCATGCAATGGTGGAAGTTGATTAAACATGAGTTCGTACACCAAAATAAGTATCAAATATTTGTCGACACATTTATTCTCTCAATTTGCCAACCTTGTAGAGGTGGAAATTAATTAAACAACAGGTATTTACTCACAAATATATGGCCAATATTTGTCCACACAATTATTCTCTCAATTTAACAACTTGCAATTGTGGGAATTAATCAAACATGATTTGTTTTCACCAAAATAAGTTCCGTAAAAAAATTGCCAAAATAAATTGCCAAAACAAGCAGTCAGTTCATCATGGTCTTGTGGGTCAGTTGTCTACATAGTGATCAATTCCCATCCCTGCCTAAGTATGACAACAAATTCCCGTTTGCATGACTGCTCACATGGTTCAGTAGATTTGCACACTGTCAGCAATGTTAGAGATCACTGGTTCGAATCCAGTGGTCAGTACAATTTTTGAATGCTAGTGAGAACAGTGCTCCTATAAATAGGACTTTAAATCAAATCACTTGTGTGAAGACACTCGTGGTACAGTGGACAAGACAGTGCGTTGGAAACCCAAAGATTGCAAGTTCGAATCAAGGTCTGGACACTCCTACGAAAGAAAGATATATACAGCTTCAGTATATCAAGAACTCAAGTCTCCCCAATAACAGAAGACAAGAATACAAGCTCACATCACTGTGCTCACATTGAAGTACGAACACAGCTAGATGACAGCTGCAAGTCTCATGCAACAACAGATACGAAGTTCATTGCTGCTCTCCAAATGGCCCCGTTCTTTTGTATTGACCCCCCGAAGGATTGCTATATATAATTCCCCCTTTCTAACTCTTGCCCAAAAAATAATATATCGCCCTTTTAGAATGTATTGAACCATCAATTAATGAATATTCATGAGCACAGAAACTTCTACGTCATGAATAAATTAGCATAATTAAAAAAAAATTGCACAAAGTGTAGGTACGTCTTCAGGTCTCATGCCACTACTTAACCAATGGCTGCTCC